TTCCTTTCCCAGGAGAGGAGGAGGAGGGTCAGCGTCGAAACGAGGACGGGGGGCAATCGATCAACCCACCTCGGATGGAAACAATCCCAGCCCAGAGCCGTCTTACTCTTAAAAGAGCTGAGCACCGCCTTCACATCGTCATCCGTGAACTGAGGCAGCGGCTCGGTCTGGGATACATCCCAATCCAGAGTGTGGGGCTCATCAGACCTGGCTGGCACGACCAAAGGCTGGACCACTCTTTCAACATTTCTTGCAGGGCTTCGTGCCCTACAACAGGTAAACCCTGGGCCAGGTCCGCGGCCGTGACCCCCTTGGGGCCTTTGGAGAAACGGTGGGCCAGGCTGGCCCCACTGGCGAACGCCAGCTCCGAATACTCCTTCCAGCTCTGCTTGGCGGCGGCTGCATCCGCTGCAGTGTGCGTCAGCACCTGGTCCTGGAGGCACTTACAGACCTGGGCCCGCTTGACAGGATCTCTCAAGCCTGACATAAAATCTCCGAGCGAATTCGCAGTTACACCGTCTTCCCCCTCCCACTCCAGACCGTCCCAAACTCCCGCATATTCAGACAACATGCGCACCGCGCTGGCTTGCTGTGCTAGCTGAGGTTCGGAGTCCTTGCCTTCCGCTCTCAGCCGCGGCATAGTGAGGCGCCTGACAGAGAGCCAACGCTGGGTGGTGGGGCTAGCCTTCCTGCGGAGGCTCTTTCCCCATTCGCAGGCCACGGGCACTTTTTCGAACCTGCATCCAGCCGCTCGGGGAGGAGCAGGAGGAGGAGCAGGAGGAGGAGCAGGGGGAGGAGGAGTAGGAGGAGGAGGAGGAGGAGGAAAAAACATCCCCCCTGGAGCCACATTTGGTCGCCTCTTTTCGCGGCCTGTGCGGTCCGCGCCGTCCACGCGCCGTCTCGGGCGAAAAGCGTCGTTCAGCAGGCGAGGCGTCTATGTTCCATGCCGCCCAAACGAGCGACGGCAGATAATGGGGTCTTTTGCGCCGACTCTCAGAGGAAAAAGTACCCATACCTCCAACCTTCCCTCGTTTTCCCCTTTTGGGCCTCCTGGGAGGCCCTCGTCGCCACCGCTGGATTCGCCTCGAAATCCTGGTCAGAAAGCACCCCAGGAAAGGTCTGGGGACTAGCGGCATCGGTGCCTGATGTCCCCAGACTCTCTGGCGCAAGCTTCCCCGCAGGGCCGCGCGCAAGCGACCTCACCACGCGGTCCGCCACGCCGGCGGCCCGCGGAAGCTGCGCCGCAGGGTCGTTGTGCCCTCTTGTGTAATGCCTGCTTCTTTTCGTCGCTCGAGTCGGGCCGAGGCATTGCCAAACCGCACCAGAAGGACGAGCAGTGTTCCAATGGGTGCTCCTGCGCTCTCGCCTCTCCGGTCGTTGCCTGGCCTCTTCGGAGCCGTCCGGCGCCGCTCAAAGAGTGCCTTTCCCGCGCCTCCTCATGATCTCGTTTGACTGCAGATGCACTCGGTGGATGCGGCTCGATGCGTCGCGCGATTTTCCCCACGCCGACGTCGCCGATGCGTCGGCGATGCATCGGCGATGCGGCGCGATTCTCTGGCCCCCTCCACTTCGACCCATTTTGGCGGCCTCCATCTTCGGCGTTGCCAGCGATGCTGCCCGCGACGCGCGCGGCGTCGGACCGCATGGGTCAGGAGGGGAAAAAACACAGACACAATTAATCGTCGACTCCCAGGACAGTGCGGAAAAATATGGGAATTGTGGGGGGGAAGACAAACACCCAGAAAATGTATGAAAATATGGGGGATCTTGTCATTTGTGTGTGTGTGTGTGTGTGTGTTTATTTGTGTGTCCCAGGGCCCCTTCAGTGGGGCAGGCCTGCCTCTCCCCTGCCGTGACGCGCCCGGTGCCCCTGCTGCCGGGCGTCTTGCCAGGGTGTTTTCCCCGCTCCCCCCCTGCGGGCGGGTGGCCGCGCTGGGCGAGCGCGCACTGCAGGGAGACACCTCCGGTTTCGTGTTGTGGGAGACGACCGAAGGGAGATGAGCCGTGTTGGACAGCGAAAGGAAAACGCAAAGAAGATCGTGAGGACCTCCTCTCCCTCCGCGATAGCGAAGGGCGACATGTTTGTGCCGAGGGTGATCGTGAACCTCTTCCTCCTCCTCCTTTACCGCTTCGGCTGTCAGTCCTGTCAGGCTGGCATGTTGGACTGTTAGAGTGTCCATTGTCATGGCGTCGACAGGCTTAGTGGGGGGCACACACCACACACCACACACACCATACACCACACACACCACACACACACACCACACATACCACACACACACATTACACACACACACGCGCGCGCGCACGCGCACGGGCACGCACGCACATGCACATGCACACGCGCACGCGCACATGCACATGCACATGCGCATGCACATGCACATGCACACGCACATGCACACGCACACGCACAAGCACAAGCACAAGCACAAGCACAAGCACGAGCACGAGCACGAGCACGAGCACGAGCACGAGCACGAACACAAGTACAAGCACAAGCACATGCACAAGTACACGCACAAGCACAAGCACAAGCACGTACCCACGGGGTGGGGCCAGACTTTTGGGGCCCCCTCGTGATTGGGTCCTCGTCTTGGACGGAGTGCGCGTTGTCCACCTCGCTCCTCCCGCCTCCTGCTGGCTCCTCCCTTCTTTCCCCCACTCTCCCGCCTCCTCCACCCTTCCTCCTACCTCCTCCTTCTGGCTCCCATTTCTCATGGCGCCTAGCCCCTATCAGCCTGGTGTAACCGAACAAATCAGTAACCGAAAACATGCCTGAAAGTATGACCGACCACGCAGTGTGACCGAACATGTGATCGAACTTGAACATCGAATCTGGTTTCGAATTAGAAGTCGGTTACACTCGGGCGCAGTTGGACAAATTCGGGCCCCCGTTTGAGTCATGCTGGGCCAGATTTCCTGACATGGTTTTGGTCAGCACACTCCCCTGATAGTGACGAGGCTGCGTGACAGTTTCTGCGCTACTGGGGGGTCAGGGGGTCAGCGGAGTGGCGTCCTACGCCGGGTCAGATGAGACCTCGCCTCCCAGCGTGTCGCCACAGAGGGGAAGGCGTGGCCACGTTCCTGCGCCTCTCGGCGGGTCCAGCGGGGTGGCGCCATGCGAAGACCCAAATTAGGCCTCGCCTTCTCGTTGGTGCTGCGAGGCGCGCTACAGGATGCGCTGCGTCATCAGCCCATCCTAAGCCAATGCTGACGTCCAAGGGGCTCTAACTTCCCCAAACGGTACTTACACCTAAAAAGGTTCTTACTGCTGTATGCAGTAACTGGGCCATTTTGCTGGTCTGGCGGCTGCGTTGTCGCCGTCGCCGCCCCGTCGCCGCCTCGTCGCGGCCTCGATTGCACAGCATATAGTGCACCGCATAGCTTACACAACATAGATTGCACCACGTCGATTGTATCACATAGATTGCATCACATATATTGCACGACATAAATGGCACAACGTCGATTCCACCACATAAATTGCGCACCACATGTCTTGCACCACATGTATTGCACCACATAGATTACACAACATAGGTCGCACATCCTAGATTGCACCATGTAGATTTACACGACATGCATTGCTCCACTCAGACTGCGCACCATCTATTGCACAACATATATTGCACCACGCTGGTTGCACATGTTGCCCCACATAGATGGCACAACATATTAAACACATCGCTTGGGGTCCACGCTGGCTAACATGGTAAAGCGAGACTTTCAAGACTCTTGCATCCTTACTGTGGACTTCGACTGCATTAGCACCGTTTTCCTGCTCCCACGGGAGGAGGTCCAGGAGAGTGGCGCACGCACACGTCCACATGAGATTCTCGCACCGTTCAGCGCTGCCAGACGCATGCGCGCTCTCACTTTCCTGCGCCCCTTGAGGTGCCGTCGGAGCGGCGTCCGACGCAGACCAGAAACGGGACCCAGCCCCCCTCGGGTATTGCCACACGCACGGGTCTTGTCACTCTCCAGCTCTCGCGCGCCCCTGAGCGGAGCGGCTTCCCACGCAAACCGACCTGGACGTCCCCTGGGGTGGTGCTGAGCGCAGAGCCGTCCCCGTCTTCCTGCGCCCGTGGGGGAGGTGGAGGAGGAGGCGGAGGAGGAGGAGGAGGAGGAGGAGGAGAAGGAGGCGGAAGCAGAGGAGGACGCGGAGGCGGAGGCGGAGGCGGAGGCGGAGGAGGAGGAGGAGGAGGAGGAGGAGGAGGGAGGTGGCGGGACGTGGGGGCTGCTGGGGTCGCGTGCCGCACAGAGCCTGGCCAGGCCCAGCGCGATGGGTGCTGCTGGGCGCCCTGGCGCCCTCGCCTGCTGGCGCCACCCTGGGAGGCCGCCAGAGCGGCGTCCCGCGCACGTGCAGTCGGCCCGGATTAGTAGGTCGACCCTGCCAGCTCAAGGGTATCGGCTACACGTAAGAGTGACCTTTCGCTGGAGTGACCTTTGGTGCGGGCCCATTGGGGTCCCCCGATCGCCGAGCGCGATGCGATAGTAGTGTCTTGCGCGCTTGTGTTTGACCCCCCCCGCGGCCCCCCAAAAGCTGCGCACCAAAGGTCACTCTTACCCAGGGTCACTCTTACGTCTATCCGAGGGTACCCTTGTGTCCGGTGCCCCGCGACACGCGCCTTCTTACACGCCCATGGCGATGTGGCCCTCGGAAGGGTCTTGTGTCCTCTCGCGTGTCCTGTCTAATCAAGGTTGACTGTGTGTCGAAGAGGTCTCGGTCCCCCTGGGTGCCGTCGAACGGCAGACCCCCCCCGATAGACACGAAGGCACATAAGCATGCATAACTCTGCGCATCTTGCCGTCGTGCCTGCCTGCTCCCGCTCCCCCTGCTCCCTGCTCCCCTGCCTGCTCCCGCTTCCCCTCGTTCAGGCCCGCACTCGCGATTTGAGCACCTGCTTCTATGGCCATGGTGCGGCGCCAGTGTGTACGTTGTGGGGAAATTTGCACTGCGATGGAGCAGAAAACAGCTTGGTAGCCCTCCCCCCCAGGATGTTACGCCAACGACGGCGGTGGGCGGCGACGCCAGGGAGGCCGATGGCGAGGTCGAGGCAGCCCCCGCGCGCGAGGGGCGCCGATGAGCGCAAGTTCTGGGCTGTCCGCGCCCCCATGCGAGATGAACCCCCCCCTGCGGCCCGCGCCCTGGAATTCGGAGGGCCGTTTCGTTGAGTTTCGTGTGCTATCGTATCGACTGCGTGGACTCCTCCCCAGAGCGTGAGCTGGGTGTACGTGTGTGTGTGCGTGTGTGTGTGTGTGTTTGCGTGTGTGTGTGTGTGCGTGTGTGTGTGCGTGCGTGCGTGCGTGCGTGCGTGCGTACGTGTGTGTGTGTGTGCGCATGCGTGTACGTGTTTGTGCGTGTGTGTGTGTGTGTGTGTGTGCGTGCGTGTGTGTGTGTGTGTGTGCGTCTGTGTGTGTATGTATGTGTGCGCGTGCGTGCGTGTGTGTTTGTGTGAGCGTGTGTGTGTGTGTGCGAGTGTGTAAGCATGTGTGCGTGTGTGCGTGCGTGTGTGTGCGTGAGTGTGTGCGTGTGTGTGTATGCGCGTGCGTGCGTGTGTGTGCGCGTGCGTGCGTGTGTGCGCGTGTGTGTAAGTATGTGTGCGTGTGTGAATGCGTGTGCGTGTTCGTGTGCGTGCGTGTGTGCGTGCGTGTGTGCGTGTGTGTGCGTGCGTGTGTGTGTGCGCTTGTGTGTGTGCGTGTGTGTGCGTGTGTGTGTGTGCGTGCGCGTGTGTGTCTGTGTGTGCGTGTGTGTGTGTGGGTGTGTGTGTGCGTGTGTGTGTGCGCGCGTGTGTGCGTGTTTGTGCGTGCGTGTGTGCGTGTGTGTGCGTGTGCGCGTGTGCTTGCGTGTGCGTGCGTGTGTGTGTGTGTGTGTGCGTGTGTGTGTGCGTGTGCGTGTGTGTGCGTATGTGTGTGTGCGTGTGTGTGTGGATGTGTGTGCGTGTGCGTGTGTGTGCGTGTGTGCGTGTGTGTGTGTGCGTGCGTGTGTGTGTGTGTGTGTGTGGTGTGCGTGTGTGTGTGTGTGTGTGCGTGTGTGTGTGTGCGTGTGCGTGTGTGTGTGTGTGGGTCGGTGGGTGTGTGCGTGCGTGTGCGTGCGTGTGCGTGTGTGTGCGTGCTTCTACGTGCGTGTACGTGCGTGCACGTGCTTGTGCGTGCGTGTGCGTGTGCGTGTGTGGGCGAGTGTGTGCGTGCGTGTGCGTGCGTGCGTGTGCGTGCGTGTGCGTGCGCGTGCATGCGAGCGCGTGCGTGCGCGTGCGTGCGCGTGCGCCGCGCCGCAGGCCTGGAGCTCTGGCGATTCACTCCTTCGGGTGTTGCTAGAAGTGTCCCTGGCCCGAGGTGCCCCCAGGATTTCCATGGAGGCCCCCGCGGCCTCCAGAGCACCCGTCACAAGGCTCAGGGGTCCCTAGGGCCTAGGAGCTCCAAAGTTGAGCGACAAGCCGAGGGCACCTTGGGCCAGGGGCACCTATAGCAACCCCCGACCCCTTGTCATTGCTCGGACGTGTGCATTTTTTTTTCGACGAGGACCATCGAGGAGCATTTCGGATCATCCTGCGACAAAAACACGCCCGACACCGAAACACGCACGGGGCATGGACTTCCGAGCCATGGCGAGACCCTGTGCCGTCGGCAATGGCCCCAGCACCCCTCTGGCGATCACTGCAGAGCTCGGAGTGCCCGAGCTCACCAGCGGCGCTCATTTCAACTCCGACCCGATGCGACGTCGATCGATCCCGATCCGATTCGGCTTCGGGTTCCGATCTGGATTTCGTTTCTCGAATGGGGGCCTTCCCAGCCTTTCGATTTCCGCCGGTTCGACTTCTCCCGACTTGGCTGCTGAATTCCGCCGATCCGACGTCCGATCCGACGTCGATTCGGCGTCGATTCGATCGCCGATCCGACCGATTCGATCCGACGTCGATCCGACGTCGATTCGACGTCGATTCGATCGTCGATCCGCTCTGTTCGTTTCGATCGCCGATCCGACGTCGAGGCGATCCTGGGGCTCTCCTGCCTTCACGCGGCCCCCAGGAGAGGCCCAGAACACCGTGCCGAGCGGGTGCTCGAAGGGTGCCCGCGCGCTCGGCCCGAAGGGCTTCCGACGGTCCAAGAAGAGGAGGAGGAGGAGGAGGAGGAGGAGGAGGAAGAAATATACGAATAATAGCAAGACACAGTTTATTCAATCGCTTCGCTCATTCCGCCGGCCCATGTTGCATGATCGCTACTGCTTCGCCGTGGGCCCGGGGCCATTGTGGCGCCGCCGAGGAGGAAGAAGATGAGGATGGGGAAGGGGAGGGGAGGAGGAGGAGAGGATGAGAAGGAGATGAGGAGGATGAAGATAAGTAGGAGGAGGAGGAGGAAGAGGAAGGGGCGGAGGAGGAAGCCTCTCGTTGGCATCTTGTGTTGCTCTTGGGGCCAAACAGGGTCGTCGTCAAGATGCTTCTCTGGGAGGCCTCTTGGGGTCTTTTCAGAAGCCGTTCGAGGGCGCCTGGGAGGCATTTTTGAAGTCTTCTGGGGGGCCTCCTGGGGGCCTCCTGGGACCTCTTGGGGGCCTCTTGGCGGCATCTTGGGGCCTCTTTGGGGCCTCTCGGGGCCTCCTGGGGCCCTCTTGGGCGGAAGGCTCGAGGTTTTGGTTCGTGGTCCCCCTCTTGGGCCCCTCTTGGGGCCGTCTTGGGGCCGTCTTGGGCCGTCTTGGGCGCCTCTTGGGTCGTCTCGGGGCCCTCTTGGGCCCTCTTGGGGCCCTCGTGGAAGCCTCTTGGCCCGTCTTGGGGTGCTCTTGGGGGCCTCCTGGGCCGTCTTGGAGCATCGGATGGCCGAAAAGGGGACAAGGCCCAAATTCTTTCAAAACCATCGTAAAATGTCTGATTTGGGCCTCTCAGGGCCCTCTTGTGAGGCCTCTTGGAGGCCACTTGGAGGCCTCTTGGGCCGTCTTGAGGTCATCATCGGCGTCTTGGAGCGCTCTTTAGGCGTCTCGGGGGCCCTTTGGGCAGTCTTGGGGGCCTCTTGGGGCACTCTTGGCGCGCTCTGGGGGGCCTGAGAAGCCACACCCAGGAGGAAAACCATCTCTGAGTAGCAGTGGTCGGGCGGCGGTCGGGGTACTTTTCGCCGGGGGACCCCCAGGGGCCGCCCCGCGCGCGCGAACTAGAAGTATTGTTTAGCAGTTACCGGAGATCTTAGCACGCCTTTGGCCCGTTGGGCCGGCGAATTAGTATTAGGTCGGGCATGTCTCCATACAGGCGGATTTTGCAGGACAAATTGAAGAATAATCAGAACAGATGCAAAACAACAAAAGTACCAACGACATCGTCCTCATACTATTGTTTGACTATGTTTGAATATTCCCCCCTGTAGAGGGACAGGCCCGACTTGGTACTAGTACTAGTACTAGTACTACTTGTTCGTCTACTACGACTACGGCTACTACTACTACTACTACTACTACTACTGATACTACTACTACTACTGCTACTACTACTACTACTACTACTACTACTACTACTACTACTACTCCCACTACTACTACTACTACTACTACTACTACTACTACTACTACTACTACTACTACTACTACTACTACTAACTACTACTACTACTACTACTACTACTACTACTACTACTACTACTACTACTACTACTACTACTACTACTACTACTACTACTACTACTACGACTACGACTACGACTACGAACTACTACTACTACT